ATATATATATATATATATATATGTATATATATATATATATATATATATCGGGGGCGAGAGAGTTGTTTAATGACATGACATATGACAAACAGATGCTACAGCGGGTGTTACGGGCTAAACTTCTATCCCCCCCACACACACACTGACACACACTTGTCTGCACGTTATGTAGCATTTTAAAAATTTAGTAGAAAGCTGTATCTACTTTAATGCTTTTATGGTACTGTATTTGTATCACACGAACAAAGTGGTACAAGCAATTCATTTTCTCCATCCATAAAGACAGGCATAATTTTAGATACCTATGTCCAGAAAATGGCGGATTTTAAAGTGTGTTGACGCTACTGAATATATTGAAACATGATTTGCTATACAGATAGCAAACATTAACCCTGCTTGTTACTTGTATACTTTTGACATTGAGATGATGTTCTCATATTGTCTCTCTCTTGTATATTACTATAGAGGGACCCAAAAGCAAAGACTAGGCAAGTTTAACTGCGTATGTGGCTAACGTATCAATTCATTAACGTATCAATTTAAGTTTATTCCAAGAATAAACTTACTCACTTTCTTTCACGCACGTACTATAAAAAATGTCGTTAGATGTAAAAACAATTAACTTTTAACTTAACTGACATATTTTGTTTAAATGTTTCTACTCGTGAACTGTCCAGGGTATAAAACGCCCTCGCCCGTTGACAGCTGGGATTGTAGATAGGTAGATGATGGATGTTTTGTATTTTTGTTAACTAAATAAATATGACAAATATTAAAAAACAAAAACGAAAAGAATACAAGTTCTTAAATATTCGGACATTTTATTTTGAATGTTTTACTCTCCGTGTATTCAGACGATCAAGCAAATACTTAATGAAGTTAATTTGGTAAATTAAGTTCAACTCACCAGTTGGATGTTGCGCACGCGCCTAAAGCTGACGGCCGCCGTGAGCGTACGCGGTGCATATTCTGTGATGAGCACGTGCTCGTCGCACAACACGGCGTGCATGTAGGCCTTGTTCATATGCTCTGAGATGACAACGCACAGCTCATGAGCGCGAATCCTACTGTGCACGCGCCGCTCAGTACAGCGCTTCAGGAAGGTCTCCACTTTTACGTTCCGGCGGGAGAACAGGGGCATGACGTTTCTTTCACCAGCGCATTGTTAAAATGCAGTCACTTTGAACTGCAGAGGAAAGCTGCTGGTCAAATTCCGATCCTCGACTATTTGATCCACGTGAAACAGGTGGCGCGCCTGCAGCTGCTTCTCCTTGATTGGTCACTCATTAGCACTGGTGTAGAGGAACATTCTGATTGGTCAGAAGAAAAATCTAAATTCTTAAAGTTTAAAAATCCGTATTTCCATGTGAGGATTCTTAGAATTATTTCGCGCCTTTTGTTGCCGATTAAGTAACCATACACAATGTGGCAAACACAAAAACTAATAATGACACTATTTTCACTGTTACATCAAATTTTCCATTTAAAAACTACGAAAGTTTGCTGTCTTCTCTTGGTTATGTTTTGTTTATATCAAATTACCCTGTGTCCCTGTGTAGTTTTTTATGGCTTTGATCATCTTACATATCTATATAGTTGGTTTTAGTGTCACTTTTTTGTAATATTTTTTGTAAACTCATCGAAGCCAAATCTGGGCTAATTGGTTATTTGCTTAAACTGGTCGACTGATGATGATGATGATGACAATTATTTTTTTATTATTTGTGATAATAATAATAATAATAATAATAATAATAATAATAATAATAATAATAATAATAATAATAATTCTATGAATATTCTAATTGTTATAAAATGTGTATAAACTATGCCTATGCACTTGTTGCATCTCCGTGATGTTGTACCCAAAATCATCACTGGAGGCCAGTAAAGTGCTGTTGCCTTTCTGAGTGTGTTCCATCTTAGCTCGCTGCATACAGTATGTACCTTACTGCATATATTTTAAAACATTTATAGATTCACAATTTTGTCTTCCTTATTTAGCTAAATATCGAAAAATGTGCCTTTCTTCCTCCTCTGCCTCGTAACCGTCAGACCCACACACAAGCACACACAGATGTCTGAAGGACAGCTTTGTAAACCGGATGAAAGCTGTGCTTTTGTTCCAGTGGAACACACTCAGCCTTTATTCACAGTCTCACTGCAAACTTGTTCTTTCATCTTTAACTCTTTAGTTTAAGACTGTATCTCAGTAACATAAACAGAGCACAGATACTAACACTCCCGCTGCAAATCAATAAGCCCAGACTGGACAGAAATATCCCAGGACCCAGTTTATATGACTTAAAAAAAAACATTGGGGTATGTTTCTAAATTTAAAAAAAAGTATTTGCAAAAGTTTCAAACAATTGAAATCCCCAAGGTTTTTGTCAATTAATACATATATTTTTTTAAATAATTTATTTTTTTTTAAATAATCACAAATAAGTGATTATTTGTGATTGTTTCTGTTTTGTGTATCTGCTGACAACCAGTTGGCTTGTTTTTGGTTTTCAGTAGAATAAATGTGGCAGATAGAGTTACAAATAAGATGGGATTATTTATTATTTACATTTTTGTATTGATTTGCCACCACCATGCTTAGTGTATGTGTGTGTGTGTGTGTGTGTGTGTGTGTGTTTGTGTGTGCATGTATGTGTGTACCAGCTGCAGCAGTGGTGGGCTGATTTGCTCACACTATGGTCTTTGTTTGACAGAAAGGGAAAAGAACAGAAAAGAACATTTCTCACTCGGTTTGGAAAAGAACAGAAAAGAACATTTCTCATCAGGGACCCAAACAATTCTTGGTTCCAACCATCACAAAATCCAACTAATCTGTTACAAGAAAACAGTTTTTGTGCATTTAAAGTATTGCTCTCCAGTTTTGTTCTTTTGTGGGGTTTGTATTAAATCCTCATTTCCTTCTATCTTTGCTGTTGTCACAACAGTATTCCATCTTTGTGTAAAACTGTACAATTATCATAATAGTAATAAATGTATGATTTGTATTGATATAGTTATGAATTTTAAAAACTGGAAATTGTAAAATACATAATAGCATACATAATGGAATTTAAAGAACAAATTATTTTATATTATTAACTTTAAAGTTTAATAACTTTTTGAGATGAGAATGAAAGGGGCATTTATTTATTTATTTATATTATTTTTAACCTTCTCTTCATTTTGTTCCAAACTGTTTTTTAATCCGTCCACAAATAAAAATAAATCTACGTTTGTACTCTGGGCGTGGGCGTGTTACGCTCCTCAGCTGACGGAACTGACCGAACAAAGTCGAGAGCACCCGAAGAGGCAAGTGCACAAGATTCACCAACGGCTCCGCATCGAGTCAGGAGTGAAGAAGCAGATAATCAAGAGACATTTTTTTACAGAGATAATTTGTTAATAAAAGGAACATGGCGGCTCTGAGCAACTGGGAAATGTGCGTTAAATACGCTCTCTTTGTCTTCAATTTCATCTTCTGGGTGAGTGAAATACTATCGTCAACTATTGGTGATATAATAATGTTATAATAGAAATATTTCGGCGCGAATTTCAACCGTTGAGGTTGATACAATTTGAAAGTCTGATTAGCTCACTTCCACGACAACAAAATACACAGCACGTAAAAATAGTTAAAAATCGTAATATTAATAACACTTTTTTAGATTTGTTTGTAATTTATGAAACGAACGACATATATTTATTTTCAGTAAAGCTAATAGCTTTACTGACTTACTAATAGCTATAGTTTTTATACGAAGATAATAAATTATACGAAGTCAGAATTAAAGTTAATTTAAACGAGAAAAACGTAAAGCATTTTGTACATGTAGTCATTTCCAAAAATCACGTTAGACTGACCTTAAAGTCGGGTCAGTTTATCAAAATGTGAAGCAATTTCACCATACTTGCACTTGTATCGGTGTTGAAAACTTGTCACAAATGTTTAACTATTAAATGATTGTAAATAAATGTAAAATAGCAATAATTTGTAATAATTGTACTTTCTGAGCAAAAGAAAAAAAATAAACGAAATGCCCTACAACATTCCAGCAGGTGGTAACATTGAGCCCGTTTTTATATTTTTCATATTTTCAGACCTAATATTATTTTTGCACATTTTCAGGTGATGCGAGCCCTTTGTAGATTCTAAATAAACAACTAGACCTCTGTGGACAATTTCTAAAGGTGATAAAGAGGATAACCATGATTTCCAGATAGATAAATAAAGTTGACAGACCAGAAGAGGCAGAATAAAAATTTAACAATGACTTTATTCAGACAATTACAACAGGCCACAGTGGGCCATATTCTATGCCCACAACAAGAAATCTTAGTTGTGCAATGCTAAGAATTTCACCAACAACGCACACTCACACAAAATGAGACTTGCTGGCCCAATCTTCTGTTCTCTCCATCATTTGGTTTTATTTCAGGACCACTCAATATGGATAAATGAAAGAAAACAAGAGAGCCCACAGAGTGAAAAACAAAAGTGTAGAGCAATGCTTTACTACAGGGATCTCCAAGCCCCAGTCTGGGTGCCAGTCTATTGGTTATTAAGGACCAGGCCAAAGTGCTACACAGAATATACACAGTCATATCCCTTTACTTTTTTCATTTAAAGATAATCTGGCAATGTTTCAAATTCAGACTCTGATACTAACAGAATAAAGTCTGAAAGATGTTTTTGAAAATTGAATGATCTTTCAACAATGGCGAGGTATTACCGGTCCGCAGACTGCTTCTTGGTACAAAAAAGGTTGGGGACCACTTTTTTATCATACCAAGATCTTGAAAATTTGTAAGAGTGGAGGGAACCATGGAGATAAACAGGAAAAAGAAGATGAAAAGACAAGATCCTACACTCAGCATCAAAAGAGTTTGTCTTTGATCACCTATGAGACTTGAATCAATGTTATTTAAAAACAAGGCCAAATCACTAAACTAACTAAAGGGAATAGAGCGAAAAGGAAACCTGACATTGGTTCTATTTAAGGGCCACACAGTTACAGCGCTTACCTTTGCGATGAATACGATCACTGGTTCGATCCCCGGTTTGTCTGTCTGTATGGAATTTGCATGTTCTCCCCGTGTGTGTGCGTAGGTTTTCTACAGGTAATTTACTGCCTCAGCCCAAAAACATGCTCTAAACGGGATGAGGGGATTTTAACTTTCAACTAATTATTATTGTTTTAAAAATGATAATTAAAAACAACACACAAAGCCTCGGTGTTGTTAAGAATCTCACAATTTGATTCGATTTAAATTCTGATTTGATATTGATCTAAATGCGTTGATACCGATTCAGAAATACACAAATAATTAATCAGAGTACCAGTTAATCTTTTAAATAGTTATATATTTAGTTTCATGCCCATATGAATAGTCATGGTATAACTCATATTTTGACGTTTTGAGCATCAACACAATAATACTACTTCTGCATATGTGCCCCCACTGGCCATGGGCGTTGTAGTGGAAAGGTATGTAAAAAAAAATTCTGGTATTTATAGCTTGTGGCCACTGGGGGTATCTGTTAGACTGCACAGGACTCCAGATGTTTTCCTCTAGTATCCAATTAACGTCGCTGCATCAAGCTCCTCCCACTGCATTGAGTGACTCTGTAGGTGCTCCTTTTCGACAGCAGGGAACACTGTTCTCCACTCGACTTATGCTTTCCTGCAAGATGGGGGCCTTGAATCAAATCAGATTAAATCTGTTGAGTCGATATTGAATTGGAGGGGGAGGACGGTCGAAATCGATATTTTTTACCCACCCCTACACCACACACATCGGAAACCACAGTATTCTTCCAAGGTTGTTGAATATAAATAAGGTTCAAATGTAATGTAACGCATAAATACAAATGTGTATAAATAAATTTCCCAACATTTATTGGCTTGTGACCCCACATTGACGTCATTCTTTTTTTCTTTATTGACGTCACAAATTATTTTTATTCTTTTTTTCTTTATATATACATACATTTATGTATATATACATATATATGTATATATACCTACATATGTATATATACATATATATATATGTATATATATATATATATATATGTTGAAACAGAAAAATAGAATAAAAATAATTTGTGACGTCAATGTGGGGTCACAAGCCAATAAATGTTGGGAACCACTGGCTCAGGGTGCTACAGCCCGGACGGGCTCCAGCGCCCTCCTGTGACACTGCAAAGAATAGGGAGTAGATAATGGATTGATGGGTGATTTTAAATATTAGTGAAATACTAGTCAGTTTCCAATGAAGATTTAAGTAATAAAAACATTTAAAAGCAAAGCAACTATGTTGAGAAACACCGTTCAAAATGTCCTGTTCTGCACAAAAGCTTTCAAATCATTTATCATCAATCATTTAAACAATATCAGTAAATAATTTACACATTCATCTCATTCACTCAGACATTCCTAGGTGTAAACAATTCCCAGGATAACATGATGCCGGTTTATTTTATACTACTATTCAAAAAAGGCTGAGGGAAGGGAGAAACATGTTGCATTGGTTACTAATCTCTAAAATGACTAAATCTGATTGGTTGGTTGGTTTGTTCTGGTAATCATTTTCACCTGTCCTCATCTCCAGGTGAAAATCAGCACCTTAACAGCTTTAAGTCCACTGGAAACACTAAAGACAAGTGGTGAAAAAGCCTCTTTACTCCTCCTCCTTCAGCCCTCCTCTCCTCCCACACACACACACACACACTGGTGAACCGCCTTGGGTGTGGTTTACTCACTGACCAAAAGAGAAATCTCTGTTTAGTTTAGTTTAGTCTTGCAGTTGAAGCGAGTATTTTTTCTTTTCTTCTACTAAACACGGGCTACAGCTCACAGACATGAAGGGTGGACTGCAGTGCATCAAATACCTGGTGTTTTTCTTCAACTTTCTCTTCTGGGTACGTAGCTGTTTCACTGACTCACATGGTTTTACACACATGCGCAGGATTGAGAGTGTGAGCAGTAGAGCTGGTTTTAAAGTAGTTTGTTTGGCTTCAGTGGCTGTGCACTAAAGAGTGTAGTGAATTTTTCTTTTCTGCTTCACTAATTCTATCAAAAGAGGTTATTTGATTAAATAATACGGTGAAAAATTGATTTAATAAAAAAAAAAGACAAATTAAAATCACCTGCAGCCATGGTGCTGCCAGAAATGCTGTTAGAGGAGGCTGTTATGAAACTCTATGAGAAACACACGTGCTTCAGCTTATCCTCATGCATTTTATTTTTTCTAATTTACTTCATTCAAAGATAATCAGGCAATATTTAAAAAATAATGTCAATACTAACAGAAGTCTCAAAAATGCTTTATTTTGAATATTTAATAATAATTCAACAACTGGTCTGCAGTGGTGGTCACGGGTCCTTGGTACAAAAAAGGCTGGTTTAGATCACTGACAGGTTTGAAATAAGTTTGCCAGATAGGCCAATAGTGTACATGCAGGACAAATACTTGAGTGATTGGTGTAGGTTACCCACCATCAGGGCTAAGGGGAGGTCCCCGTGAGCTAGAATAATTTTAGCATATATTATATTTCTCAGATAACTTTACTAAAATATTTTCTCTCAGACAGTCGGTTACTCCTCTACTCTGCCTCCTCCTGTGTTATCACCATATTACCTGTTTGCAGCTTGACTTTTGACTTTAATGACAGCCTTTACACACAAGTGGAGTTTGTGGCTTCAGTGAGCAACAACACAAACAGGTCCTACCTCAGAAAGCACAAACATCATCTTTTTTTAGCCTTTGCAAACTATCACTACGAGCTCTTATGGGGGTTGCTTTGTACATTTGAAGACCAGTGACAACACTGCTGTCTTCACACCTTACCTTCTGTTCTTAGTGCAGCTAATGGTGTCTGAGGTTGAGCTCAGTCAACCTCAGGGGGGAAAGTGTTGTTTTGCTGCCTCAACTCTCTGGAGAAAATGAACAATAATCTGACTAAACTAACAATCATCACTTTCCATCTTCCAGCCTTGTATAATGTCATGTCAGAAGCATCAGTAAAACAAGATGAAGTAAAGCTATCTCACATGAAGTAAAGTTATCTCACAATTTGATAAAAATATCCTTACCAAATGTAAAGTTTATATATTATTATATAGCTATATAATAAGTTATATATTGTAAGAAAAATCACTTCACTCCTCTCACAAAATGTTTTGGTAACAGAAGTCTATTTTTACTAGCCACTACATGGAACTTTTTGAACTTTGAACTTCATGTTTTCTTATGCAAACAGAGCTGGTCTAAACGCACAGATCAAATTAAGTATTGATGGCTGAATCTGTGAAGGCATTTGTTTTGTACAAAGCATTTGTTCCACACCGTACAAGAAGTGTTAACTAGCCAATCCTAGCATTTGGAAAAGGTTGGGGAAAAAAAGGAAATTTTGGGTTAACTATTGTTAGTGATCGCATTGTACCATCTTAAACGAATTAGTTCTGCCAGAACTTAAAGGAAAACTCTTTTGTACTTTCTTTAGTTGGCAGGTACTGGAGTCCTGGCAGTGGGACTTTGGCTACGGTTTGACACCAGGACAGCAGGACTGTTTGAAGGAGAGGACGCACCCACTGTCTTCTTTACTGGTAATATTAAAAAAAAAGGAGACACTGCACAAGTTTTAGTCTTTATGGATTTTTAAAAGGACGTGACTGAACATTTTACAACTAAACCTGTGGAGAGATCTGGCTGGATGTGTCAACAAACTCCTGCTAAGTTGGATTTGTAATCAGTTCACATGATCCAAACTGATTATGATTTAGCTTATGAAACACCCACTAGTGCAGACTTTGCCCAAATGTGACCATTGGGAATATTTTACAAAAAGCTCTTGTCCACTACAGGTTGTCCATTATGTGGTAGAGTGTCTGGTGTTCAATCATCCTTCAAGGGCACGTCACCCCTCTGTTTGTTGAGATACCCGCAAATTCAAATCGCTAGCCTACAAAGTACTTGATGACGTATAAATATCTAATAAATGTAAGGTAAATGTAATCCTGCCTTAGCCAACGCATTTCTTTGTAAGGTTAGTTTTCCCTATCATTAGGTTTAGTGCCTTATTTTAAAAAAAAAAAAAAAATCAATGTTATTCATTTGCTTAAGTCAGAAGACTTAAGGTGTCTCAGTGACAGTGCTTTCACTGCAGCGGACAGGAAGTGTAAACGCTTCCTGAGGTTTAGTGCAGTAATGTTGGTCCGCCATTAGCACAAAGTGTATATGAAGTGGTCAGAGATTTGTGGCCTTAAAAGCAGCTCTCTTATTATTGATGCTGTGGTTGGCGAGGCACCTGGTGGACAGGACGTAGTATTACAATAAGCAGAGGCTTACAGAGGGTCAGCTGAGGCTGCAGAACTCGTTACATTCTCACGCGCACGGTCACACACTGCTGTCTTTCTTTCGTGTTGGACAACAGTGTCTTTGTCCCTTTTCTGTCCCTCCCTGTCTGTGAAATGACAAACATCTATAACAGCAGCTCTGGAGGAGTGTGTGGTTAAAGCACTCATGACATCAGGCCTTTGCTCATTCTTGTTGTCCCACACACTCCAATTTAGGTTAAAAAAATCTGAGTCATCCTAATGAAAAAGATAAATGCCGAGTTATTGTTTTGCCTCTGAATGAATAACATTGTACAAAATATGTTGGAATATTTATTGATTTTGTTATGGTTCCAGAGCTTAGATATTAAACTTATTAAACTTCTTCTTAAAAGAACGAGATGATTTAATACAATAAATCATATTATTCTGAAGAATAATCAGTATTAGCATCATCTCCACCAACGACCCAATCTCACGCACTCACCCCCGACCCTTTGTGTGTTTGTAGGTGTGTACATCCTGATCGCAGCAGGTGCCCTAATGATGGTCGTGGGTTTCTTGGGCTGCTGTGGAGCCATCAAAGAGTCACCATGCATGTTAGGATTGGTATGTAATTTTTTTTTTTGGGGCGGGGGGTACTTGGTCACCATGCATGTTAGGATTGGTATGTTATTTTTTTTGGGGGGTGGGGGGGTACTTCTGAAAATAAAGCAATCTAAGAATACAGAAATCCCAACTCTGTTTCTCCATACTCAGTTCTTCATCTTCCTGCTCCTCATCTTTGCTGTGGAGGTGGCTGCTGGGACCTGGGGTCTGTCCAACAAAGACAGGGTACAAACACACACACAAAAACAAACAAGCTTTCCTTAGACAAACTTTTTTTTTAATGAGGACTGAGAGACTAGAGATCACATTCCTAACAACTGTGGCTGATGAGGCATCATAGATTAAGTCATGGGTTAAACCAACTAATGACTCTTGATCACATTGTACTTTGGTCATACTCACAGTTGGATCAATCCCTCCTTAGATTTTGTAGTCAACGTTAACTTAATCTGCACTCCACTCATTTGCAACCATTGTTTGGATGTTCTGTTTACTTTGTGTTAATCTGTGATGCACTGTGTCATTGTCCACATGGAACAACGTGAAACACGTTGTGACCGACTATTTGTCGGAAGAATTTATAATATCGGTTGGCCGATGTTCGCCTTGTGATTCCAGGTGGTGGAGGATGTGACTGAGTTCTACAAACAGACCTACTCCAACTACAGACAGACCAAACAGGAAGCTCTGAAGGAGACGCTTCGCCTTATTCACTTTGGAGTGAGAATGTGAACCTGAGCTACTCCTCTTACTTCCCATTCCATCTTTACTTCTCCCAGCTTTTACTTCTTTAAAATACTTTAAAACACTCCTGGGAACTAGTTAGGTCATAAATAATTCTCACCCCGTGATTGGTTGTTTCCTCTTTTCAGCTGAACTGCTGCGGCCCGACAGGAACTGTGATCGACGCAGCCAAAGACACCTGTCCTGATAGTGCACTAATCACTACAGTAAGTCAAATGGACCGCACTCATACTACACTCTGTCCACTGTGTACAGTGACACATTTAAGAACTCGCTTCTCTCCTTTATCAGAGCTGTCCAGCAGCCATCGATGAGGTGTTCAACAACAGGCTGCACATTATTGGTGGAGTCGGCATCGGAATTGGAATCATTATGGTGAGTATAGAGTAGTTGAAGATCTGGTGAAAAGCACCAAAAATCCAGGTTGTTTTATGTCATTCAAATGGGAGTATGTGAATATAAGTATAAACAAAATGCCAGATCTGTAAACAGCTGTAGAAGTTTGGGAAAACCCTGAGAACATTTTATTTTATCTGCAGATCTTTGGGATGATCTTCAGCATGATGCTGTGCTGTGCCATCAAAAGGTCCAGGGACTTTATGTGAAACCACAACAAAACTCGAAAAAGATTTTCCTACTTACGTCCTCTGCACTGATATAGTTTGATTTAATGTTGTTTGTATCCACACGGAATGACCGCTTCCTCCTGTGAGAGTGTGGATCTTTATTTTTTTGTAAGAACTTAACGTTTGTACCAAAGTTAACTCGGTTCACAGGTTTTCCTCTCAATCCAGGGGGAGTTAGTAGTTTACACTCTGAACCCCCCTCGCCTCCGCCCTCTGGAGGAACTGGAGTTTCACTAGTGTTTTAACTTGCTGACAACTGTGACTCAAGTTCACGTCAGTTGTAAACCTTCGTCCAGCTCTAACCCAAACAGGCTATTTCTTTTGAAGCTAACACAATTTTAGTCTTGTTGAGGTCTTTGAGTTGTTTAATTTTATTAAAAGCAAGAGTTTTATGCAAATATTAATAAGTGCTGTTTAAATATTTCTGTGAAAATGACAAATAAATTTCTAACGTGTTCAAAGTCTTTGGAACTTGACAAATAAATTTCTAACGTGTTCAAACAAGTCATTGGAACGGTTTCTTATTTCAGTCAGATGCACAAAAATGGACGTGGTTGATGCGTTTACTTCAGTCCAAATAAGATTTTATTGTTGCATTAACAAAATACAAACATTTACAGGAATAAAAAATTAAACAACTGACACAATTGTTCTGTTGATTTGCTTAAAAAAATAAAAATAAAAAGCCTAATTTATTCAGTTGTTTGCAGAAATTGGTTAAAATCCTGAGCCCTTGAATAATCATTAAGGGCTGAGGCAAAGGTTTAAAAACAGTGTTCTTCAATTTAGTGACTCGAGTCACTAAGGTCCGAGTCCAAAAACCCAAAGGTTTCTGCCTTTTTTGCAGCAGTGGTTTGTCCGGTGTCGTTGCTCAGGCCTCCCAGGCAAAGTCGTACGGCTGGAAGTCGTCTCTCAGCTGTTTGCAGCCCTGCTCCTCTTCCTCTCTGCTCTGTTTACATTCCTTCCAATCTGCTTTGGTTGGGATGTTCAGAACTGCCTCACTGGCCAGAACCTCCCTGTGGTGTCAAAGCTCAGATTAGATCTCACGATCAGCGCCCCACAGGTGATAAGCTGTGGCGTTGTTTACCTTCCGAACTGCAGAGGAAAATGCTTCCTGATGCGATAGAAAAGCTTATCCCCCGTGTCCAGCTCTACATAGAAGTACGGTGTCCCTGGAGGAGCAATCTGAAAAAGAAAACACAGACTTGAATGAGCATAAAATGCGAATGTGTGTTCAATCCACCTGGGTTCTGCGTGGTTTTGCTTGCGTCTGTGCCTGTTTGAGGTCTGTGTGTTCAGGGATCTCCATCAGCTCCATCTGCTGCTCCTGAGCCTGGACCATGAACGCATCCTTGATGTCGTCTGTGGTGCAGCGGTCCAGAGGCACTGGCACAACCTGCACCATAATACAGCATTGTTTTCATTATTATTACCTGCACCATAATACAGCATTGTTTTCAGTATTATTATTACTTTTTATTAGAGATGTCCAATATGAACTTTTATGCCGATATTGTCCAAACACAGATGTCAATCGATACTGATATAGCGAGCAGTGACCATGCCCCCCATAGGGGACTGAAGTTTTTTCAGATCATCATATTGGGACAATCCTACTTTTGACATATTCTTGGCTTGGTGTGGTGTGCGTCTGTGGACCTGTAGCTGCAGGTGTTGGCTCCTGTAGTTCCTCTCAAACAGAACACATCGCTCTCCTTTGCTCTGGTAGAAGCTCCGCAGAGCGGACTTGTACTTCTTCATCTCCTCCACCACCTCGCTGCTCAGATCCACCACGGACTGATAGTGACCGATGGGCAGGATCAGGACATGGCGGGGCGTCAGGCCACCTTTGGCCAGAGCGACGTAACACTGGAGCAGACGGATAAACTTTGGTTCTCAAAACCCACCTTGACTGTTGCAGCTACTACAACTCCCATCATCCCACCTTAAGTAGTTTGTTTAGCTAGACTCACATGCTCTCCGATGCTGATGACTAGATGTTTCTCCACCTGTGGACTGGCCAGACAAAACCAACAGGGTCCAGTGGGCTGAGCTGTTCTCAATCAAAAAAACAAGGGAAGGAAAGCTATTAAAGAACAGCGATGAGTCATTGTCAAAATCTTTCAGGTATTTCTTTCCCCATCTAGCTATAGAAGTGATCATCAATCGGTGGTTCAGATTTCCATAACTGTTAACATTGCAAAAAAGAGCTTTGAGAGCGACTCACGATGGTGCCGTGGCTGTTTGGCCTGTCCCTGTGGTTGGCGTCGGTCTTGTCCTGGTCCGTCTCCGTCTTGATGTCGTTTCCTACCACGACCTGGACCAGCGCCCCCTTGTTTTTTGCCCAGGTCAAAAAAAAACTGGTTGGGTGGTTCCTGGACACAAGTGTAATTCAGAGAGTTAGGTTTTCTTTTTAAAAATAAAACAATTTTTCGCATACAGGAGAAAATAAGATTTGCACCAAGGACCGATCAGCCCTTACTGCGGACCGGTAATACCTCATTGGTAAATCATCTTTCAGACTTTATTCTGTTTGTATCAGAGTCTGAATGACCTATTGCCATAAACATTGTCAGATTATCTTTAAATGAAAATAGTAAAAGGATATGACTGGATTCTTTTTTAATGAAGCAAATCAGTGAAAAAAAAAAATTCACTGTGTCCTGGTACCAAATGACCTACGGACCAGCATCAGCCCCCAGACATCGGGTTGGGGACCTCTGGTATAACATTCAAAATGTTTCTGTACCTCTTCATTGCTGCCGAAGCTGGTCTTGGATGCCTCTGTCTTGTCTTTGTCGGAGCGTCTGTAGGGACTTTCTGTCACGTCCTGTGGCTGCTTCACCAGCTCTAAAGGCTCCATGGTTTTCATTGGGATTATATTGAAGGCGTATAAATACTGTGCAAAACACAACAGCAAACATGGAGGGACGGGGGCACAAATTAGTTATCAGCAAACCAATTAATTTGTCCAAAAAAAATCTGACAAATCTTAACCACCTTTCTTTTGGCGGGGTTGTTGACTGTTGCCAGGGCGATGAATCGACTGACGTGCTGAGCTTTTTCCTGCAGGACACTGTGATTCCTAACGATGGAAATGGATGCAAACACGAGAAACATCTGGATGATCAACGGGCTCCCACTGACATCTGGAGGTTTCAGAGAGTTTGAGTTTTACCTGTACGGCAGTCTCTCATAATGAGCGCCTTCTAGTGCAGCAAAGTGGTATCGCGGTTTCAGCTTATCTGCCAAGTTGGCAATGGAGCTGCTGCCGCAAAATTTGGTGTTTGGTGTTTGGACTTCCTGTAAAAGCAACGCAGGTGTTAAGCCTGTGAAGCCTCGCCCACTTGGCTTTCCCATTAAATACTGAAACATTCGAATAATTTTTAACCAACCGGGTTGTTAGCGTAGTGCCACACCCCTCGCGGCCACTGTGACGTCAGCAGGATGTCAACGCCCCTGAACTTGGAGTTGTTGGTGAGTGGCTCCACCAGAGCGTACAGATCCTTGGCTGTGAAGCAGTGAGACTGTGCTGGTTCCTGCTGTGCCTCACGACCGCTGACGTAGGCGATCTGGAGGCCTGATGCGCCTGTGAACACACCTTTACGACCTAAATGCAGAACACAGGAGACAAATTTAAAAAGTTTTTTTTTTTTTTAAAGAACCAAAACACTTTATTAGTTGGATGATAATAAACTACTTTTTTTTGCCTAATTTAAATACATACCACCCTGGTTCCACAGGATGTGAGATACGAAAGTGGCTCTAGCTCAGGGTTTTTCAAACGCTTTGGCTTGGAGCTACAATTTAAATGACCGGGTTTAATTGATCTAGCTTCAGTGATCAACAATTGGTGGCCCGCGGGCCAAATCCTGCCCACAAAACCATCCCATCCAGTCCAGGATAAAATATAATCTATTCCTCACTATTACTGGCTAAAAATACTATATATATATATATAAAAAACCCATAACCAATAAACATCAAATTAAAATGTTGCACAAAAATGTGATTTTTATATCATAACAGTGTTTGGCCCCCCAAGGTGGCTCTCCAGAAAAACGTTGGCCCTCCGATATAGTTGTTTTAGCCCTAACTCACATTGACAACATTAAATATATATTTACTTCTAGAAGCTGAAAATAGTTTATATACACCTTCCATATTGACGTACTGCTTAAATGCATGTACGGTAGTTGTATGGCGCAATATGATTTAATGCTTAGAGTATATGGTCACTACTACTCACTGAAGGGTTTCATTTATATATTTCTTTTATTTTAATTCCTCATGATATAACTGTATCACCACTCCCTTTGCAATCTACTGGTAGATCGCCATCTAGTGGTAGACGCCCTAATGTACAAACTAAATCATCTTCATTTTGTGGCGTTTCATACCCAAATATGTGATATTTTCAACCAGCTCACAGCCATCAGCGCTCGGAAAGTTCTTTGTCGTTTCCTGACTTGCTGCTCCGAGGATGCAGGTGTGAATGGGAACTAGGAAAAAAATAAATAAAAAAAATTGACATTTACAGAAACCTTTACAGTCGAATTTAGATGGATTCAAGACTAAAGAACTTACATAGGATATGTGGCATTTAATAAGTACTATCGCAACCTTCCAATATAGAACTTGTCGCCTAGATAGAATTGTTGTTTGTAAAAGTATCATAGTATTTTCATGAGAAGCCAAAAGTCTTAGACTGGCTTGTGACTTCATTTTGACAAGACAAATTTTCTGGCGACCCCACAGACTTTTTTTTTCTTCTTCTAGAATTAGTTCTTGTTGTACTGTGTTGCAAATACAGAGTACCGAGATTAGTGACATTTCAGTCACACATTTGGTCACATGTACAGTTAGGCCAGCTCATCTATACTGAAGAATACTGAACAAACAATCTCATAAACTGTGAATTACAGTTTAGACTGTGAAGATTGAATCGTATTACAGCGCTTCAGTTTGAGCATCAGTTTGTCACGTCCTTTGTATATTATTATTATTGTCTCTCTTAACTCAACTCTTTTTTATCAATTACTGTACTGGGCATTTCTCGCAACCCCGAGATTGAAGAACACTGTCCTGAGAGTATTGATGGAGACACTCATACCTTTCTTTGCTCCACTCTTGTACTGCTGCCACTCGGCCTCAGCCTCTGCTGTCGTTCCAAAAAACTCCCCGACGCACAACAGCAGCTGCGTAAAAAAGTTAGAAAATTTCAGAAACACTTTAATGATATTGAACTTATTACCACAGAGTTTTGCTGCTGCATAGATGAATAAACCTGGCATGTTGAAATGCATGTGTGAGATGAAGACTCACGTCGAACTGCCCTGTCTTCTTCTGAATGGCCTGCACTCGACTGTAAAGAGCGTTTAGCTTCCCCTCCACGTCTCCACAGGCCAGCCTGTCCACACAAACATGTTCTATGTCTTAATCAAGTTAAACATGATTAAATAAAAGTACAATCACTTGGATAAATAATAATAATAATATGTCTAATTCCTTAAAGACGCTTTACATTTAATGTTTTGTTTATGATTGATCTGCTCAAAATATTCTCTAATAGTTAACAACACTATTTTTTACAATGCATTTATCTAAATATTTACGTTTGCTTATCAACAAATTATTCTAATATATTGATGATCGGTGTAGAATTTAATTAGTATTTAGCAATTAACAGATTTAATGCTAAAATGTAATTTAAAACTGGTAAAATTAGTAGATTTGTTACCTGTTTAATCTTGTTCGAACCACTAATCTTCCTATACACTACTGAACTAAAGAATATTTTGTCTCCTGCAGGCTATATACAAAAATAAATAATAAACAATGAATTAAACTATGTGTTCGAAAACTTTATTCATAATTGATGTCAATTTCTTCCCTTCGTACATCGTAACGTTCAATCTATGCTATAAAATGTTTGTTTTAACTGTGCGAAAATAAATAACATGAACCAGAAAATTCACCACAATTGATAAAATTTAACTTACACTCTTACTGGTTGTTCGCCCATCTTTTCATATATTCTTAACACAAAACCGTCACAAAGTGTGGTTTTGGATTTTGCAGCTTGAGCTCAAAATGTTTCGTACGTCACCGATAATCGTCCGGGCGGAAAATAAAGCGGAAACAATACTTTGGTTTTTTTTGTTTGTTTGTTTAAAAAAAACCCCAGCAACATCTGTTCTTAACTCAAGTTCAATATAATAAATTAGAGGTAAAAATCGTAACATGTAGATACATTTACCTCAATTCGTAAAATTAAATCAAGAATAAACACAGAATTTGGTTGGTTGTTGGGCAGATTTAAAGAGGGCTGACACAGTGGTTGCCAGATTCGAACATTTCTTGAAAGGAGAATGGAAGAAAGTGTGCTTGGCGTACAAACGCTGGCTTTTATTAAATTTTGAGACAGGACCGTTTTTTATCGAAATAATAGCTATAAGAATGTGAGAATATTAGAAATGTCAATCACATAAGAGGCTTTCCACCTCATTTTTTCTCTTGTCTGTTGGTGTGCATCTAATAATTGCTGTAAACATGTCAACAGTAGTAGTTGTTGTAGCAGTAGTAGTGGTGGTAGGGTTAGTATAATTCCGGGAAAATATAATCTTTCTGGCATCCCAACTCCAGGCCCTGGGATGGACGCCGAGCCTCATCCTGGCATTTACCTTCATCCTGGTAACTCACAAGTCCCCGGACTAAAAACAGGAAGTAAGTACGCGAAACAAAAGTAAAAAATGCTTTCTGTTCAGTGCTCGAGATGAATGCTGCTTATATTTGGAAACGTACACCGCAAAATTGGAGGCAAAAGCGACAGAAAAGTGTTGGAAAGGCCGACTCAGCTCTTCCACGAACATGGCGGCGACGGAGACTTTTCACCGTCTTTCATTTAAACAGCGGGAGCAGTGGCAAATTGAAGGCTAACTGTTAGCATTATGGCTCGGCTGGTTGAATTCATTGAAAAACATAGATAAAAACAAAGTTTTTATTTTCGCACCTCCTTTAGTCTCTCTTTGGATGTATAAATAAATATAAACCAAACTAGTTTTACGACTATTCGCTGTTGTTTTTGTGTAGTAGCGCTATGGTTTTTGATGCACTTGATTTTTATATTTACATTGTTTGTGAAACAACTATTAATGCATGCCCTAGTTTTATGTGAAGTAAACGTTTAATTACTCTCAAAACACCCCAGGAATAAGCCATTTAAAGTCTACTGTGCAATAGAAATGTGAATAAATACATGTATTTATAACAGATATCAGTTTGGAAGTACTGCAGTGTTAGCTACACAAAGCTAAACACATTTTAAGTGTGCACATACAGTATATTTGTTTTTAAGTACAAAAATACCGTATACAAATCTCCGTTTTATTTTATTTATATCTGTATCTGTTACATGAAATATATAACCACTTTTTAGGTGCAATATTGTTTGAAAATGTGTTTTAATTTTTTTTTTTTTTACAAATGACCCATACTTTTTTTTTCACCAGTCGCAACGAGGACATTGCCTTGATTGTTTGAAAGAAATAAAGCCTTATTGAATTGTTTTGGTCCATTAAAATAGTAAAGTTTTTAAAAGGAACATATATACTAAATGTAATTTATAAACAGAACATAGTCTTGTCTGTTGCACATCAGCTACCTGACAAGTTAATTCAAGCTTGAATAGGTCATAACCTAATACTAGCAAAAAAAATTTTTTAGAAAACAGGTCAAAATCTTTGTCATTGTAATAATTGATTTATTTTAATAAAATTTGGTAATTTAGTAGGAAGTTTGAGTACAATAGTGGTGGATCATTGATTTACATTATTTTCTCTTCATTTGTTTATAGAAAACACCATATATTTTTTTTTTACAAATATGCTTTGCAATAAATATGCTTTGCAAAACTACTTAGTTAAACAAAAAGACAATACTGCAAATACATTTATTTAAGAGCCAACTAGTACATACATACTTATAAAGTGAAGTTTTTGCAAAACATTTGAAAACTCAATGTAACAGTGTTGATTGTCCAATAAACAAACACATTTTTACATTAAATGAAACCTAAAGTGAATGTTTTTTTTTTGTTTTTATTTGATGTATGAACTCATTGTGAGGCTAACGTGTTTTAACATTTCACTGACAGACGACCAATGAGGCTGATTTTGATCATTCAAGGATGATCACAACTTTATATTGATAAGGATGAGTTCAGCTGCAGATGAGCAGGAGACTGGAGCTGCTTTAGCGACGGTGAAGACAGTGACTCTGAGTCAGGACAGTGATGGAAGCATCATCCTGCAATGTCCTCCAAACGGTCAGTGTTACATGCACACATAAAAATCTGATTTTTGATTGATTTGAAATGTTTCATTTTGGGGAGGATTATACGACATGATTAAATTAAACGTAATACAGATCAACGTTTGAGAAAGATATAACGAAACTATCAAAACTTACACCTGAGAGTCATGTCTTAATATGTCAAACATGTTCAAAACACATTTGGGAATTTTAACATTTGTCTTGGAAGTTTTTGACTTAAATAATAAACAAATTAATTCGTAGATAGATATATAAATGGACAAATGCACATATATATGTATATATATGTATACACATACATGAATGGACACATAAAAACATACACACGTTCTTATCAAGGCTGTCTCTAGCCTGTACAATTTTCTTGATTGGTTTTATTTAAGGATCACAAACATTTGTCTTTGTGTGTCTGTAGATGAAGACTGTGAGCCTCTTCAGAAGAAGCTGCATCTCCCTTCAGATGAACAGGATGACGCAGACTCGCATCAATTCTCCGTGGTTACTTTACCCAGTGAGGCGCACACAGACATGACATGATCCTCTGGTTCACTATCGTTGTATTTTCATCTAAAAAAAATATCATTTTGAGTGTTCTGTTTGCTTTTTGGTATCAGTTTCAATTGGTCAGATGCATTTATCGGTACATAAATGTCCATAATTCATGTCCTAAAAATTATATTCGAACTCTCATCTTTTCTTCCCAGTGCCAGATAATGATGAAGGCTTCGAAGTGACGATGACGGCAACAGCAGACGGTGGTTTGTCTGATGAAAGTGTGGCTCAGATACAGGTCAGGTTTTATAATTTTCCCACGATTTTTCGTTGTTTTATTTTTTTACTTTTCTCGCTCTTCGGAATTATTTTTGAATCTTTCATCTGTTTTTTTCTTTTGCACAGATTCTCCAGGAGGATGAAGAATCATTGTTGACCAATCAGAAGACAGAAGTGTCTCCAGTCAGTCAGGCCTGGTTCACGACTAAAGAAGACAAAGACACTCTGGTCAATAAAGGTAGAGTTCACAGATTTTAACTAGTCTTTTTTCACTGTTTTGTTGGTTCCATGGTGTATTGATTTCCACATCTGCCTTACACGCGCAAGGTCCTGGGTTCGAGCCCCAGAGCATACAGAACCACATACAGTGATACCTCGCGTCACGAACGTCCCTATTCATAAAGAAATCGGATTACGAACACTATTTTCGAACATATTTTCTTACGTGTGTGTGGTAGGACTTCCTGCCACAACTGACGCTGCTCACCTGAGTGCATTAGACGCCCAGCCACTCACCAAACAGATTCAAAGAACTTAATACGTTTGTGACCTGAGGTATCGCTTTAGTTTCTCCAGTGCAGGATCAATAGTGTTCAATTTCTTTTACACAATACATTAATTTAAATAAAAGTTTTTGAAATATGTTTTGCTTTCAGGTCATAAGTGGAAACAAGGCATGTGGTCCAAGGAGGAGATTGAAATCCTGATGAACAACATCGATCGATATTTAAGGGTACGTAAACATCTCTGACATTTTTGTGGCGTTTTTTTTTTTTTGGTTTAACTTTGAGTTTGTTTGTGTCGTTGCTGGTTTGTTTGTATTTATTTAGGAGCGAAGCATTGACGATCCTGCTGAGATCATTTTCGAAATGTCCAAAGAGGAAAGAAAAGATTTTTACCGCTCGGTGGCTCAGGGTTTAAACCGACCGCTGTTCGCTGTCTACAGACGAGTTCTCAGAATGTATGACAACCGAAACCACATTGGCAAGTAGGTCTGCAAGAAGAGAAAACACGTTTTCAAATAACGAGCAAAAAAAAAATGAAAACATGAAAATAAACGTATCTTTTTTTTTATAAAGGTACACGTTTGAGGAGATAGAAAAGCTGAAGTCGTGAGTAAACAAAGGATAACAAAATAGAATGTATGTATTAATTAGATATGAATGATGTTTACTTTTATGAAATGTGTTTCATCAGTTTGCGTCAGAAACACGGAAATGACTGGGCGACGATCGGAGCAGCTCTGGGCCGCAGCGCCTCTTCTGTGAAAGATCGATGTCGACTCATGAAGGAAACCTGCAACACAGGTTAAGATTATATATCATGTACACCCGTGATTCTCAAACTGTGGAACTGGGTGCTCTCTAGTGATACGCGGGGAAAATTCATATTTTCACATTTACATTTTCAATAGAATACATTTGAAACATACCATGTGCTATTAATACAACATTTAAACATAAACAACTTTCTAAACATCTCTCCTGTGGTGGAAGCTAACAGTGAAGGCCTCTGCTGCTATATTCTAATGTTGGTCATCATGGTGGTACTCAGAGAGCTCAACGTTTTCTCACGTGGTACAGAGTATAAATAGTTTGAGAACCACTGATATACACTATATATACAGTATAAGATCATTTATGATGATGATGATCATTTGTGGCAACATATATGAAATATATTTTATATATTTTTGTATATATAAAATGTTGCCATTATAGTTAAAAAAAATGTATTGGGCTAGGAAAACCTGGACATAAATGTTTTAGGAAATCAGTGATATTTTTAAAACAGGTAAATGGAGTGAGGAGGAGGAGCGACGCCTCACTGAGGTTGTGTATGAGATGGCAGGCGTGACCCCAGGCTCAGCCGTCACTGGTGGCGTCTCCTGGGCGTTGGTCGCCGATCGCGTTCGCACTCGTTCTGAGAAACAGTGTCGGTCGAAGTGGCTGAATTATCTGAACTGGAAACAGAGCGGAGGCACAGAGTGGACGAAAGAGGACGACCTCAACCTCGTACAGAGGTAACGGTGTGTCAACGTCGTCTGTTGTGCGTGTGTTGGAAGTCGGTGAAGTCAGTTGAGGTTTGTTTCAGAATCTCCAAGTTGGAGGTAGAGGATGAGAACGACATCAGGTGGGAGGATCTAGCGGGAGGATGGAGCAGTGTCCGCTCTCCGCAGTGGCTGCGATCAAAGTGGTGGAGCATCAAGAGGAACGTGTCCAATCACAAGGACATTCCCTTCCATTATAGTTACACTCACTCTCACTCACTCTCACTCTCTCTCTCTCTCTCTCTCTCTCTTACATTAAACAAAAAATCAATAACTGCGACCTTCTGTCTGCGCCCTCAGTTCTCCTGAAAGGCCTCCAGGAGGCGATGGAAGCCTCAAATCAGTCCGGGTCAGTAGAAGGAAGTCCTGCCGCCTCCTCTACTTCCTCCAACTCCTCGCTTCAAATCCACCTCACACGATTAGAAGAAAGTGGTAGCAGTAGCTCCCCCTCCAGTTCTGTGGCGGCGCTGCAGATTCCAGTCCAGATCCCTCTGCAGATCACACACTTAGGTCAGGGTTTGTGCTGTGTGTGCGCGTTTGGATATGGATTTTGTTGTGTTTGTGTTGCTCTAAGGGACTGTAATAGGTTCTCACATACATATGTGTGTGTTTGTGTGCGTGGGTGTAATGTGCAGCTACAGACTCTTCGGCAGCTGCAGCCAATGACAGTGAGACTATTACTCTAAACACTGGAGCTTTACAAACGTTCGAGATTCTCCCAGTAAGTGTCTCTCTCTCACACACACACACACACAGATTATTCTGTTTACTCTCCTCTTTCCTTCCTCTCAGTCCTTTCACCTTCAGCCGACTGGCACGCCGGGCACCTTCTACCTCCAGACAATGTCCAACCAGAGTCTTCCACTCAGTTTAACCAGTACCGGCACGATGACCCTGACCACAGGCTCCGCCCCCTCACCACAGGAACACATCATTCTCCACAGTCTGTCGGTCAGAGTCTGAGTCATTGAAGAAACGTGTTTGTTTGTCTGTTTGTGCTTCATTCTCCTTCTGTTCTGTCCTCAGGCCGACGGCCTCTGCTCCAGTGACGGCGTCATCATCCAGACTGTCAGTTCTGACTCTGCTTCCACAGACCCTCTCAGCCAATCACAACTGGTGGTGGAAACTGAGGGGCAGGATCAGGGGCATGAAAACCAACTGGACGCTGCAAGTCTCCTGGAAAATTCAGAGAACACTGGTGAAGGAGAGGAACCACAGCAACAGATGACAGACACTTTCAATGAAAAGGTACTTTTTGGGAGATCTCATGGCCTAGTGGTTAAAAGGATGGGGCGTGTAATTGGAGAACTGTGGGTTAAAATCCCAGGGATGGCGGGTCATGGGTACCATTTCTTCAGACACTATACATACGCAGGTCACTTGATCCTGTGTGTCCAGTAGTAGTCAGTGTTTTACAAAAGGATGTTTTTCACATCCATTTCTCAATCAGTGAAACGTGGTCCTGAGTCGCTGTGTGTAGGCTTAGGAGGATAACACATTTTGCTGGACGATATATTGACACTAGGGATGTCCGATATTATCTTTTTGCCGCTGCCCGATATCAAGGGATGTCCGATATTATCTTTTTGCCACTGCCCGATATGCCGATATCAGCCGTTACCAATATATGCAGCCGTTTGCCCCCAAAACTGAGGTGAACGTCTTCGCGATTCCAGCATATTTGGCAAAAGCCAGGCATTGCGTTATCAGGTTTTCATTATTGGAGGAAAAACTGATGACAAATTCTTACAGATATTACATAATTATACTAATAATTAATTTCCCGATGGGAACTCCAGAGGGATTAATAAAGATCTGTCTATTTAATCTAATCTAATCTATGAGGGGAATCTGAGTTTCCAGTGAAGTGCCACCAACTCAGACACACACTCACTGTCAGAGCTGTGGTGTGATTTAAATCAAGACTCTTTCCTTATGTTAATGGTTTTTAGGATATAAGCTCAACTGCTGTAGAAGAAACAGTGGTGCATTCTGGGATTGCGTCAGGTACCACAGTCCTGATTGTGTCTCCTCCAAACATCAGCAGCACACTGACAGGTAACACTCTTACACACACACACACACACACACACACACACTGCAGTTGATCTGCAACAAGATTTTTTAACAAAGCCATGGGCTCAGTTTATTTTGAACATTTTTTGAAAATGAGATGAATTATTGATTCACTTTTGCCACCAACACTTGGTTTACATTTGTTATTTTGTGATTTGGTGTTTGAAATCCATTTTTTTAATTTACCTTAATTACACAGAGAGTAGATAGATGGATGAATGAGTGGATTGATTTTTTTTTAGATATCTATACAGATAGATGAGTTTTTTTAAGTTTGAGGCCCTTGTCTTAAAGTGATAGGTATGATCAAAAATCTAAACTGCAAACATAGATCCTGTTCTCTTTCTGTTCTCAGATCCCATCCTGGAAAATCAGGAAGTCTCGGATTAAGAATAACCATCATCACAGATTTCACGGGCTGCCGGATCGGAGGCTGAAGATGATCTGCACGACTGCTCTCTCTCAGACAGAAGCAGCATCTTGTCAGTAACAGACTTCAACAACTGGTGATTCATGTTGGAAGACCTGACATCGAACCGTAACCCTCCAGGATGAAATGGGAACTCAGCCCTTCACGTTTTTCATGATGCCAAAGAGACTTACCGAAGGAAACTTTTCATGTTTTTTTTTTTTAAGATTGAATATTTAATAGAAAACTATATCATGAACTAATAAATCATGTTGAACAGAAGAACCATTGTAACAAACAAACAAACAAACATCTTCTCAGTTTTGTGCTTTCTCTTGTATGTGTCTGAGATATTTTCAGGGAAAATTTTAAAACTAGGAGGAGCATCGTCCCAGAAAGACCAGCGTTTCAGATTTAGTGCCCTCTACAGGTGGTGCTGTGGATTGATTACAGCCAAAAGATTCCTGACATCGCAACAGACTTCATTCTGACAGGTAAAAAAAACACAACTCTATTTACATAATGAGCATATTTTAATGATGTCATGTATGTTCTACATATTGGTGTTTTTAAAAAATTGCAAAGTGTCAAGATTGATCTTTGTAGGTTTAGTGCTTTATGTTCTACATATTGGTGTTTTTAAAACATTGACAAAGTGTCAAAGTGTCAAGAAAATAAAGGAAGATTATTAGATTATATAATTAGGAAAAACAATGGTAATTTTGAATGAAGAGGACGGAGGCCTTGTTGATCCTCTGCTCCCTACACTAAACGGTACGATGTTCTATTTCATGACGTCACTGTTTGAAATCCTTTGTTCAGATTTTCCTCAGTGACAAAAACCTAGACCTCGTCGTCATGCTGGCATGATTAGCCTGGTTTGTTTTGATTTCTGCGCTTGCTCCCTCTCGCAGGGGTCTCTGTCACCATCTTGTGGAGGCGTGAAAAATTGTAGCACATCTTTGTGACAAAATTTATTCATAACAGTGTATGCTTTTTTTAAAAAAAATAATACTTACCACCAGCATATTGATAATGTACAGTAAAATATCCCGATATGTCGTAATATTGATATTTTGGCACACCCTTGTGCAGAGTTTTCATTCAAAACATATAAAAATGATATTGAATAACTAATGAAAAGATCAATAACAACAAAAGATGTTTGAAATACATATTTATTGATTTCATAAAATACCTAATTTTAAAAGGTGAAAGAGTTGTGGCTTTGACAATCGTGGAGTCATCATGAGGTCAGATGAGAGGTGAAGGAAAACTTGACCAGACCATTGACAGGTTCTTTTACATTTTCCTTATAACACACTTCATTTAAAGCTTCCCCTTTTAAATACACACTCAAATTCTTTTCAATGACACTTGGCATTGTGTAGGTGACGTACAGCAGGAAATGATTTAAAACCGCTCAGTTTAGAAAAGAAAACTTTTTTTTTAATCACATTACGATGGACTACATTAAACCACAGCTGGTCTTTTATTTTAGGTTAATGACAGAACTTAGTCACCCAGCAACAGAGTTGTGAGATTCAAAAGTAAAATGGATTTAATGATTAAAGCTCGAAGATTAGTGCGAGGCCAAACCAACAGTGCAAACAATAAGACGTGATGATGTGAGCAGCTTTGGCATAAAGTGAGATGGAACAGTAAAAACTTTTATTAGTGCTACACCTGACCTGAGTGTGTGTGTGTGTGTATTGTTGTTCACATTTAGTGCAACATGTGTCAGTGATTTGGCATTTGAAACTAATTAGGGGAAAAAAAGTTTTGTGGCTGAAAGTAGAAAAATTGAGGTTTATCCCCTTCATTCTGTGTCTTTAGGCTCATTAACATTCACACTGGTTAAAATACCAAAATAAATAAATACGAATGTTTATAGTCTGACACAAATCATTACTTCATCATCAGTTGGGTTGCTTTTTTTCCAGCTCCTAGCCATGGCAGTGCTGACATTTGTTTCTAGCATATTTTTTCGAATCACATTTTTCGTGGATTATTCCAAATCCAAAGGTAATTATTTTTCGTGGATTATTCCAAATCCAAACGTAATTCCAAATTCTTGGTGTGTCAAATTCCTGAAAATAAGAAAACATTCTCCTAAAAGTCAATCTTTCTATAATGTTTTTCTTAAAAAAAGACGTTTACAAATGGAATGTGTGTGGAAGCCCAGGTTTGTTTGTTTTTTCAGCCCTGGTGGCCATTCATTGTACTGCACAATTTTTAATTGATGACACACAGAGCGCCTGTGTGTCTCATATATATATATATATATATATATATATATATTCTCCTGCAACAGAGAAAGGCTGAACAATTAAATATTTTTCCACTAGGTGGCAACATATTGCTATAAAAGCTAACAAGAACAAAACTCAGCCCTGTTGAAGATCTGTTTGTTTCTCCAATTCCTGTAGGCATATAAGGGTTGTGTTCAACTCAATGTGCCCGTACGATGGTTTCTATACTTTGTCAATTGTGAGTGAACTGAAACTAAATATTTCACCACATTTTTGTATTATAGTGAGCTGTGGGATTTTTCTAATGTAAAATATGTCCCGTGGGTTGCACACCTCTTTGTAGACCTACACAAAGGCCTCACCTGGTACAGTTTGGAGAGTCAACTTTTCATCAAAGTCGGCCTTTTGACATCTGCTTTTATTACACTCTGTGTGTGTCATCTCCATTACTGCTTCTTCATTTGTTAAGAGGGACTTTCCATGAAGTTTGAGTCTGGCTTGAGGTTCCTATTTGGTCACATGTTTATTCCACAGTCTGTCATATCTGAGCATTCCATCCCTTTTTTTGCCATTCATTGCCACTGTTTTACCTGACATCATGAAAGTAAAGGTTGGCACAGAGACAGAGCAGTACGATGGACGCCAGCATGTAGTAGATCAGGTTTCGGAATTTAGGCTCCAGGTCACCTTGACGGTACCAGAATATCTGTAGTAGGCACGAAAACCTTCTTAGTTAAACATTTAATGATGTGGAATAAATGTATCCTTAAATTAAATGTAAAGACTAAACGGCGTGTGACTGTTACCAACACTGACGTCGATCCACAGATTAATAGGATACACACAGCAAAGAAGACGTTGAGTGGCCGTGGGGGCAGCGCCGGAAACACAAATGAGCAGATTACTGTCACCTGGTGGGCAAACAGAGAAAACAGTTATAATGATATTGTTTAAATTATGCCAGGAAGCCAAAGAGACACGGAAAAAAAATCAATAATAATTTATCAGCCGAGTTCTTCTACTTTATGTTTTTGGCTATTAGACTTAATTTTCAATATATTTATTTTTAAAATAATACCAAATAGATTATATCTTGGTTGCACTGCTTTCAGTTGTGTGTATATATATTTATAATTTTTTTAGTTTTTATACAATCATATGTCAGCCATCATCTGTTGCTGGGGGGGTGATATATATTTATATATTTTTTTATTTTTTATACAATCATATGTCAACCATCATCTGTTGCTGGGGGGTTGGGGGGGGCATCTGCCTTAACGCCTACAGAATCAGTGGTGTGAGCACCTGGAGCCTAAAATGAATGGCAATGACATTGTTTCTTTAACCAATTAGATTTGGTGTTGGTATTAGTTAAGTTAAAGTTTCAAGTGATGTGATGGATGATCGGAAAACCTAACAATCTGTATTTATCCATTTGTATGTGCAAAAATCTAATTTTCTCTTTGTCAACTGCTGGTGTGTGAATTCCACTTCAGGAAAGAGAGGAGGACGGATTTTGTGATCAGACGTTTTGGTGAGTAAAATGCATTTTGTAATAATTTTGTTATTGTATTATTATTGATACTTTTGATGCACATTATGTCACAGCTGTTGCCAAATTGTGCTTTGTGGGTTTGTTGCTTTAGTAATGGCGTTATTTCTAAATTTCCTAAAGGGAACTCCCGAGGGATTAATAAAGTGCTATCTATCTCTAGTTGGTTTGACAAATCATGTGGTGTGTGCTCTCTCATCAGACACTGTTCAGCATGTTGTGTGACCTTTGCTTTTTCAGTTGTCTTACAAAAATCTGCTGAACTCTGTCTTTGAGTGTGGACTAAAAAATAAAATAAAAAAAAAGTTGTGTGTGTAATCAGTAAAAGAGTTCACTTACGAGAACCACCAGAGAGGTAACTCCTCCTACTGCCAGGTTGATGATTCGATCCTACAACACAAGTTTAAAAAGTTATAAAGTTTGAACAACTGCAATATTGAAGAAAACACAGGTTAATGATGCAGTGCTGTCAGAGCCTTAAAACTAGATTAGGTTTTAACCGGAGATGTCCGTTAATATCAGCCGACCAATATTATCGGCCAGATATTAGCATTAGCAAAATACATATGTAATATTTGTAGAAATTGTTATAATTTTTGTATCCGATAACAATAACCAGATAATGCATATTTGTAGAAATTGTTATAATTTTTGTCTCCGATAACAATAACCAGATGCCTGGATTTTGCCAGATATACTGGAAACGATTTACACATTTGTTTTGTCACAGACAGTGCTAATTTGTGAATGCCTTTAGTGGGGCATCACAACAAAAGGTCTGTTTTAATTCCACAACAGGTGATATGTGATGTGACCTAAAAACTAAATGCTGAATGTATCCATTGATATCGGAATGGGAAACTAAGTGTTTAGACAATATTGGCAAAAAGCTAATATTGGACATGCCTAGTTTTAACCTGAATGTTTTATGTTTTTCATTAATTATGAATGTCCCTGTGAGCCAAAATCACTGATTTTGTGTGGTAGAGTGATTCGTTTACAATTTCAGTGATTTCAGTTTACTATTATAAAATCTTGCTAACAGTAAGATAAAGCAGTGAACATGTACAAAATATTTTGTATATTTGTAATATTTTACAAAATATTTTGTAAACTGTTTACATAGAGATCGTGTTCAGGGGAGTCTTCAGTTAAGTGTTTGCAGACTGTTTTTTAGAAATACTTTCTTATTTTTTCTCGAACAGAAACACACTCCCATACTCTTCTTACCCGGGCAGTGGTCTCTCCAAACAGCGGTCTGTTGTCCAGGCCACTGGTGCCGTACGTCCTGTTGCTGAAGTCGTCCATCACCGCTCCAGCAGGAGACTGGGCCCTCCACTGAACGATGGCTCCTCAGCAGCACTGCCTCCTGGACACACAGGGCCAGTGCTGCATGATAACTGGCCTTCTTCCTCTAACTGCTGCTGCCGATCCTTGTCCCTCTAATCACACTCTGCAGAGATGTCAGTGTCCATAGAGCGATGGAGACATGATGGAGGGTAAGTGCCGTGCTGCTGCTGCACAGAAGCACTAATGACTCGGTCTGAAACGCAAAATAATAAGGGCTTTTAAAACAGAGTAAAAAGCATCAAATTAGAGGTTAAAAGAAATACTATTAATATTGTTATTATTAGAACTGCAAACTACTAGCCAAAGCGTGCAAAATAGCGGTTGAAGATTTACCCAGCTCCAGTCAATCACTGGGGTTTTTCATTGATACATGCAGTGTAAATACGAAGAGTAAGATATTAATATAGTAAAATAAATGCACTCAAAGAAGACCTTTATTTATACGTCAGGGTGTAGCCATTTGTCCTCGAGCAGAACTAAACCTCATGTAAAGCAAGAGTGACTTTATGTCTGTTTTCTCCGGCTGCTTTACTTCCTCTTTTTTCAGGTGCAAAAACAGTCACTTCTATCATTGCCTAAAAAGAGAAGCTGTTATCAGTGCTACAGCAGCTTTTATCTGTACTGACCGAAAATCCCCGATTAAAAATCTGTGGTTTAGTCTAAATCACTGTTAGAGTTCAAAACCCACAGCTGTAACTTGTCGATGAAGGCAAAGATATGTCTTACCCCCATTTAGTAAATATTGATCTACCGTATACCCTATGACGTCAGCATCACAATTTTTGTTCCAAAATGTCGAAATATTACTTGGTTTAAAAACAAGATTTACATTTTCCCCACCAAAACCAACAGAAAAGTTGAGGCTTAGAAAGTTTCTCACACCCTGGTTCTGTTTTTGCTGATGACACTAAGCAGCTGTTATACACTGTGTTACTGTATCGTATCTATTAATCCACACCTTCTCAGAATATTAATTCTGGAAGGAGCTCTACAGATGTTTTTTTAAATAAATAAAATGTGGAAGAAGGAAAATTACCTCTAAACAAAACACGACAGCCTTGTCTTCATGCAGACCACTTCACTTCACTCAGCGTTGCTTCTTGCTTCCTGTGAGAAAATGCAGCAGCAGAGGAAATAAAGGCTTGGCTGAGCTTTCTCAGCAGAAAAAAAAACCCAACACACACACACACATTTGGGGAGGAGAAGAAGCAAAAAACAAAAGCCTCATTATAAACTTGCACAAACCTTTCCTAAAGCTACATTCCTACAGTGCCTTGTGATTCTTAAGGCCTCTTAAAAATAAAGGACTCAGGTTTGAAGGAGAAGATTTAGTTCACATGTGAGGAAAGTGTGTTTTTGTAAATGACAGGGCTGTCATGATTATTTTCAAAATGTATAAATCTAAGTATTGTTTCAAATCGTAGTGAATTTTAATGTGGGTCAAAACATGACATTAGCCTTTTATTGTTATGATTATTATTATTATGCAAATCTGTGAGAACACTGTTATTCGCACCCTTTAGTCAGAATAAAGACATCACTTCTCTGATACTACACAATGCAGTGACGGGTACAGTCGCTGCCAAGCACCAGTGAGAAGAGCAAACCACAACAGAATCTAATTTAAACTGAGTTTAAATATTAGTGACGTTTAGTCAATGTATAGAAGCAGCAAGTTGGTGTTAAACAACATATAAAACGTGACACTAAATCTGACTGACACATCAACTTCGTAACACTGGAATTTATAAATAAGTCTTAGACAGCCAGTACAAATGCAGGCAGAGCTGTAGTGACAAGCTAATTAGTATTCTAGCAGATGTTAGCTAAGAAAACACCTTAACTTTCACCAAAACAGGTCGTAAGCTAAGTCGACCTTATCAAATACGTGTCACTTTCATGTCATGTCATGGAGTTTCTCTAAATCCTAAATATTGATAAATAATACTATAGTTTACAGTGTAAATGTTGGCATAACTGTAGTAGAACTACATGCTAATGCCGCTAAGCTAGAGTTAGAATTAACCAGTACTTCCATGAGAAGCCGCTTCTGACCTGACTTCCTGGGCTTCACATTCACGTCGAGTTTCTCTACGCGGTTCTATTATAGACGCTGATGGAAGCTGGAAAAATGGCGAGTAGCTGCGTCCAAGATAAAAGGAACTTCGGGAGCTTCACTTTCAGGCTTTCACTAATTAGCTGAGAGCTCAGTGTGGCTACCTTGGGCTAACTGATGCTAACTGGTGCTAACCGGGGCTACACTGCTGGAAATTCCATGAAATGAGACTTAACTGTAGATTACTTTATCAGTGAACTACCGTCATATTTTAGACGACCAATAAAAAATAAATAAATAAGAAAAACTCCTATTAAAATACCATATATTTTTTACTAAGCTACTGATTTTTATGAGAAACTTAAAATCACTGTTTACTTGTCTTTTACTTACTTAAGATGACCGAACCTCATTGAGAATTTAAGACATTTCATCTAACGCATCACTTCGACATAAACAAAAAAGTTTTAATAAACAAAAAAGCTGTAGTACAAATGCTTACCAGGAAGTAAATAATATTTGGTGAACAGGGACAGTGAGGTAATGGGTTGGATTTTTTTTATTTTTTTTTATTTTTTTATTTGTTCTTGTAGTCAGACTTGGTTAAATAGTTAGCCAGGCCCATTCCTGTACTAAGCCAACTTTTCACATTTGAATTATCTAATGAAAAAATGTGATACCTCAAAGATACACATAAAGTAACAAAGAAAATCTAATTTTAACCCACTCTTCCGCAGCACACACACATGACAAAAACTCTTAAAGAATGTTAAACATTCAGTATTAGGCCTCTGTGTGACATAGCCACCGAACTACCATAACTGAGTCAGCTGCTCATTTAATTAGAAGGTTAATCGGCATAAGTGTGTGATTCCAAAAGCTGAGAAATGTTAGCGTGTTTTGCGTAAGAAAAACGTGACAGGCGTCTAATCTAGACAAAGAAGTATTGAAAAGGTTCGAGTTAAAACATTGTCATGTGGACATGCAATTTAATGACCCAGAAATAACTGAAGGCGTGAAATTTTGTGAAACAGATATAATGCTGCGTTAGCCTTGGGTTGTTTCGTAAGAAATGTGTGGAGGGAAATTCTCAAAAATCACAAAAGATTTATTAGGTAATGACAAAAGGATTACTGTACACGTGTGTTGTCTGAAGTTGATAACATTTTTACATTTTTATCTTTTAAAACATATCTTTTATCTTTTTTACTTAAACACATTTCCTTAAAAAATTAAATAAATACAAAAAACAACTAGTATGCGTAAACTTTGACTTTATTGACGTCCTCGTCCTGACATTCTCTGTTCCGGTTGTAGTAATAAAATGTGTTGTCACGAAGCTGCAGCTTCTTCACAAAACCAGTCTCTGGCCACTTGTCCACCTGAGACAAAAAAAAAGATATATACAATACAGAGATTTACCACATTTAATTGATTCTTTAGTTAAAAATTAGGGAAGAAATGGATTTTTTAACATTTACCAAAGCTCCATGTTTGACTTGTATGTATTCAAACTCATCCCTGTATCCTGCCTGTTGGAATCTGAACAGGTTTTCCACATCAGCATTCCATCGTTTGGCTCTGCTCATGGTTTTTGGCCTGGAATTGTTTTGGGCAGCACAGGACATAGTGTTCGATATCTGATGGGAAGAGAGTCATATAGAAAGATGTACAGTATAAATAGATTGTTTATCATTCTGTAAAAAAAAAAAATCTTTGGTATATGATCCTTTTCACAGCTGCATAATGCGCATAAGTAAATAAAGTATCAGTTGTACTTTAGCTTTAAAAGTTTTTATCCAGCGATTCATAAACTCTATTTTAAAAAAACAAATAAAATGATAAATTATTAAACAAAGATAAAAAACATATAAATAGATATATTCACACATATATAAAGTAAATTTATAAAGTAAAAGTTTTTTTTTTTTTTACCCATTTGCAGTTATTCTCCGAAATGCAACGCAATTAACTCTTAAATTAGTTCTTTCTTTATGTGAACAAAGAAAATAAATTAAGAAAATCAGAAATGTATCAAGTATTAATTAGGGTTTGCCGATTCTTCAAAAATAACTATTAACCAATTATTGTATAAGTCATTTAAATACTATATGTAACTCATAACTGATTTAGAAAAAATAAAATACATTTCCTTTGTGATTTATAAAGCTGAAGCAATTGAAGTACACGCTAACACACTGTGTACATGCCAACACACCGTGTACATGCTAACACACTGTTCAGGGAATCGATTTGTTATGACCAGTGAACACTTGTGACTTTTCTATTTTTTCGGGAGGAAAACGTTTTGAGTGGAACTGAGAAATAACATGTATGCATAACACATTAATACGTTTGAATCATAGGTCGGGTCTTAAAATGCGCACTTAGCACTACCTAGAGGATAAAGAGAAGGTTGGCGTGTCGAGAACTCAGAGTGTAAATGTTTTATCCTAAAAACAAGCGCAACAGCCGAGTTATTTAACCTTTTAAATTGATTCCTCCCCATGACATATAATTCATTGTTATGTGTTTTATATTTATACATATATTTTCATTTCGATCTGTTAAAAAACGATGAAGGCACTTCAAAAATAAACTTATACCAAGTTTTATCCAAAGTAAAACACAAAAAGAAGTTTTTTTTGGCCACAGGACTTTGTTTAATGTGTCGGATATTGGATATGTTTCGGTATAAAAACGTATTGTTTATATCGCGGTTTTTGACATGCCTTTTTCAGTGTGTCCCAAACATCAACAAGAGGAAATATGCGGTTTTTGACATGCCTTTTTCAGTGTGAAACTCCCAAACATCAACAAGAGGAACATTTTATAACAACTGGGAATTACAATGTATTAATTGCACTAACAAATATACATTAATGAATAGAACATACCGGTCAATACGTATTTGAGTTTTTTTTTCTGTCAGTCCTTAAATTCCTAATCATTACATTTCTAAAAGTAAAAACTTACTTACGGGTGTTTTTGCGGTTTTGTTAAAAGATGTTTCCTCACTGCAGCTGCTGTTGTTTTTTGTCTGTTTGGTTGCCTGGTAACTGTTAACTGTCTTTTATCTGATTCAGGTTCAAATTCCAGCAGGTGGCGCAAATGACTTGCTATAATGTTAAAAGTAGTCTAGGTGGTGTATTGTCTAAAGCAGGGGTCCCCAAACTTTTCTCTTCTCTGATATCTTTATTGCGTGTTTTCTGATGTTAGGGTACGTGTCGTTTGGGAGGGCGGCATAGAAGTCAATGAGACTGTTGGACTTGAACGCGTCTTTCAGAACATCACAGTTCTGTAACTCGGCCAACTCAAACTGATAAGAAGGCTGGGCTTCCTCAATGTCGGCAACAAAGGGGTTCTGGAAAAGACGGATTTCTTTTGCATAAACATGTAGTTCACGGAATCGCACACCGAACTCCGCCTTCAGCATTTCCAGTGCTTCCACACACTTTTCAGCTGGAAACGGGACCGCTGGTTTCTCTGCAGAGAGATTTTGTGTAGCAGGGAGATGGATGAAGCTGTGCTTTTTCACTTGTCCCAAAAGCAGCTCTAGTTTCACCTCAAATGCTTTTATGTGGGAATACATGTCGCAAATGAGTTTCCCCTGGCCTTGTAGCTGCAAGTTAAAGCTGTTCAGCATTTCTGTCATGTCTGTTAAAAATGCGAGGTGCCATTTCCATTCTGGGTCGATCAGCTCTGGCACTGTTTTGTTTTGTGTATGAAGGAATGCGTTAATTTCAGGTAGAATTTGTTTTGTGAAACCAAAGGATGGTTGTTTTTGAGTCCCTGTCTACGATTGTCTGACATCCGATTAAAAATGCTTTGTCAAATTAAGGATGTTATTACTAAGATGCATTTATGCAACAAGTCGTGTTATTTTATCTATTTGTTTTTCTTTTTTTAGCGCGCCAATCCACCGAATCTGGCAACCTTTCTTTGCTACATTTAAGTGCGTCAGGATGTTCGTAAATTAGATACCTGCTCTGTCTCTAAATTCCGTTTTAGGACACGACCTTTAATAATATGTCAGCTTTTTTGTTACATGAGTTGTTAACCTAAGCGTTAACGTGAAATGTGATTTAATTTTTTAATTCTCATCATTAGTTGGAGTGTAAATCGATAATATTCTCTAAACTCTTTTAGTCTTTGAAGGCACCATAAATACCGGAAGAAGATGGTCTAACCGGGAGAAGCGCCGAAGAAGAAACTCAATTCAGTGGGCGGCACCAAGCACAAGCATCTAATGATGGGAAAGGCTGAAATAGTTATATTTTTTGTGTCCAAACAATATTTATTTCATATCGTAAGGCAAGAAAAGTCGAAAGGTGTAATTTGTGAACATGAGTTCGTTCGCAGGTCGAATGAAGGAATATCCGAGCATTTCTCTGGATTGTTTCGACAGGGAGAATCTACATGCCCGGGCGTATTTTCTGTCCCACTGTCACAAAGGTGAGTCTTAGCATTTAGCGTCATTAGCTTCTGAATCGGGTGAAACATTAAAATGGTGCTAATGTAAATGCAAACCGATGTTTTTAGATCATATGAAAGGACTGAAGGGACCACTGCTGAAGAGGAAGCTGCAGTTTAGGTAAAAACAAAACACGGCATCTCTACAATACTGTGAACGCCTGGCTCCACAAAGTGATTAAAACGTGTTTACAAATTAAACAAGATAAATGACGATAAGACACTGACACTGCCGATTGAGTGGCATTTTCTCTTTTATATAAATTTGTCTGAATTATACAAAGTGTGTTGGGAAAGAAAGAAAACTAAATCTTGATGATAAATGGAATTCACTCGTAGACTTGAATTTTGGTTGATTGAACTCTAACCTTTTGTGTTAACAGTCGTACAGTCAGACTTTACTGTTCTTTCGTCACCAAAGAACTTCTGCTGAGTCACCATAAATACCAGTTTTGGGAAGAATACATCGTGAGTTGTCTCTGTTTATCCTGAGTTTTTTGCTTTTCCAGATTGCATTAAATCTGCTGATGCCTGTGAATCATGATAATAATTATACATTCAGGTTGCATTGGAGCTGGAAAGTCCAACTCAGATCTCTTTAGTGGACGAAGCAACGGGAGAGGTGAAAAAACTCCCATAATTTCCCCTTTTTTACCACTTTTTTTAGGTCCTCAGACAATTGTTAACGGTGTAGTTTCTCTGTGTCACAGAAAGAAGATGTGGTCGTGACGTTACTTCCTGCAGGGCATTGTCCAGGATCTGTGATGTGAGTTCAACAGGATTTGGTCAAAACATTTCAGTTTATGTGGTAAAATACAGAAAAAAATGTAATGAGATTAAAACTATATTCCTAACAAAGAGATGCAGTGTAAACGGGATGGTTTAAACCTGTGCAGGTTCCTGTTTGAAGGTTCTCAGGGGAACGTTCTCTACACTGGAGACTTCAGGTTCTCTGTTGGAGACGTGTCTAGAATGGAGCATCTTCACTCTGGCAGCAGGTGGGTGTAGACTTGTCCTTAATTAAAATTGTGGGTTTTTTTTGTGTTGTTTGTTTTCACATAATCCTCTCTACTAACTCCCTGCTCAACACAGAGTCAAAGACATTCAGAGCATTTATCTGGACTCCACTTTCTACGACCCTCGCTTCTATCAAATCCCCACACGGGTGAGTGTTTTATTTCCTCCTGTCTTGATTTAATGTCTTCCTTATTTGACAAGATGGATTCTGACTTTTGTAGAGTCATTTTCTTCCCTTGAATTTTAAACAGTCTTGAGTCTTTGAGCATCAGACACAAAAAGGAATATTTGAACTTTTATTATTTCCTAAATATTTACTGTGTGTAAGGGTGTAATGGTACAGCAAAGCCATAATTCAGTCACAAAAAATAGGATTTATATATATATACATATGTACGTATATGTATGTATATATATATACACATATATACACATATATGCTTAATTATACATGTTTAATTATATTAAATTATATAAATATATTTATAAATATATATTTATTAACATAAATATATATATTATGGGTTGCAAGACTGTATTCAATGTAAACATGCAGCTTATATGCATAGCATAGACAAAACAGTAACTGTACCAAATGTACCATCCACAACAGGTAATTCAGATGCTATATATTTAGGTGATGCTTTTTCTCTCATCTAAAAAATTACGGAACGTCCTACAGCCCTAATATTTATACATCTTTAAATCTGATTGTATGTTTTTTTTATATTCAACTTCAACAATTTTTCTGACTATGTGGTTTTTTTTTGTATGTTTGATTCTTTACGTGTGCATGTGTGTGTCTGTCTCCTCTGTGTGTGTTTGTACGGTTGTGTGTGTAGGAAGTGTGTCTGAACGGTATCTCAGAGCTGGTAGGAAACTGGATCAGTCAGAGTTCGCGTCACGTGGTTTGGTTAAACTGCAAAGCCGCCTATGGATATGAGTATCTGTTCACTAAACTAGGAGAGCAGTTTCACACACAGGTGATGTCCTAGCACATACAGTTGTGTTCATATGCAGCCCCTCATGTGTTCACCCAGTCTTCCTTGGAGCTGTGGTTTCAATAAGATGCCAGTACAGCAGGTTTTAAGCGAATCTGTTTCTTAATTTGATGGTTCAAATAAAAAACCCAAAACAGATTTGTTTAAAAATAAATTATAAATGTTTGGATTTCATTGTGTTACTTTTAAATGAATCCAACCTGGTTGTCTGAATGTGAGGATGGGCACTGTCAGTTCCCTTAAATATGTGAGATATATTTTTTAGGTGTGTATGAAAAGTATCGATTCGCAATAATTTTTTTTCATGTTAACAATTAACCTGCACATATTCATGGTGTTGGTCCCTTATTTCTTTTGCTTTAATTTCTTCTCTAACTATTACTGTTGCAATTTTACTAACTTGATGTCACAGTTTTGTGTGTTTACTCTGCTGACAGTTTGCCTGCAATTAAAAAAATTCAATATATCGTTGGGCCTGTAGCATTGCATTATATTGCAATTTATTGTATTGCCCCTATATTGCGGTACATATCGTATCACTGTTCATTTAGCCCATTTAGTTAATTTTTGTTTGTTTGGTTTTTGCCAGATCCATGTCAACAATCTGTCCATGTTCATGAAGATGCCTGAGATCCTTAGCTTTGTGACCACGGACCGCAAGACGCAGATTCATGCCTGTCGACACCCAAGGGTACAGACTCAGCCTATTATTGAGACATTAATATAGCTCTCATGCAAAGGATAGTGATGATGTGAGTGCACGTGTGTGTGTGTAGGATGAAGAGTTTTTTCAGGGCAACCGTTTGCCGTGTGGCCGTTCTGCAGAGGATGGTTCACCCCTACATATTATCAGCATCAAACCGTCAACCATGTGGTTTGGAGAGAGAAGTAAGAAAACCAACGTAATCATCAAGTAAGAAAAAGCAACAAACTGCTGCAGTAAAACAAATGCTGATTCTTAACTAATGGAGATTTATTTTTTTTTTGACGGTACAGTGTTCCCTCTCTCTGTCGCGGTTCTCCTTTCGCTCCCTCAGTACATCGCAGATTTATTTTTTAAGTCCGATCTCACGACATTTTTGCTATATCGCGATATTTTACGATAAATGCATTTTTTTAAAATTTCAAATATTTTTATTATTTTCGTTTAAAATAATTATACATTTACTTTTTTATGTGCATATACAACTACTGCGATAGGAGAGGAATTACTGTATTTCTTGTTTTTTTTGTTTACCAGGACCGGCGTCAGTTCCTTCAGGGCATGTTTCAGTTTTCACTCCTCCTACTCAGAGGTCAGCTGTAATTTCTTTCATCTTCTCATCAATTTATAAACAAAAATAACTCATACGCAGAGAAGCTGAAAACAGTGTTTTATTTTTTCTTTTCAGCTGAAAGATTTTCTGTGCTATCTTCGGCCCGTAAACATTTATCCCAGTGTTGTTCCTATGGGTCGGACTCTGACTGAAGTCACAAAGATGTGAGTTTGACTTTGTGTGATGATGTTGGTGTAATTGAGTGTTTCCCAATTGTTTACTGCCATGCCCCCCCTAGTGGACAAACCTTTTTTCACATCCCCCACCCCTGAATTGAAATACTATTGAGCAACTGTTCATATTTATTCATTTATCTGTATAAACCACTGTATGAGTTGCAGACACCAGCATTCTGCATATAATCCCCTTGGTATCAAAAAGTTTTGAGTCTTCAAGGTATTTTAAGGTTTAAGAGTTAGTTATGGAGTTAAGATTTTAATTTGAGTCGGAGAAGAGCAGTCCTTCTCAACCTTGAGGTCGAGAGCAAAAAATAGGGTCACCTGAAATGTCTAGTAATTGATTGTAAAAAACTACTGATAAAAATGATTTTACTTTTTATAATTCTGATTAAACTACTGCACATCATCTTAAAGAACTGTGTTCTTTCACATTCATGAATATAAATAGAGTTCAAATAAAATACAGCACTAGACTGGCTACTCTGTATTTGCAACACAGTATAACAAACATGATCAAAAGCTAATTCAGAAATGTTAAAATGACATTTGTCCAGGTTGCAGCTGATGAGCAGAAAACAAACGGACCCTTCGGCCTTTGTTTACAAACCTCTGGGAGTTTTGAAACGCAGCAGGGCGGAGCCAGTGAGTTACGGTGAGTAGCTCTTATTTTTTTTCAGCACATGAATAGATAATATTTTTTACTGACATAAAATATGAGTTTAACATTAATTATTTATTTTCTACGATTGTGCAGAGACTCAACAAAGAGTGAATACAGTGAAAATGATGTTTAACAATGTTTCCTTTATGTCTGTTACTTCAGATTCAGGCAGTGAAGATGAGCTGTTTGATGATCTTCACCTGACACCAATCAGAAAGAAGATAGGCCTCAAACAGGAAGTAAACGATGGTAAACAGTCACTTATTTTCCTACTGTATATGACCATACTATATCATACTGTACATGAGTACACCTGTCACTCACCTACGCTAACACAGTGGTAACAATATAATCTAGGACGTAAACACATCAGAAGAGTCTGACTTACACTTAGGAGCCATAAAGAAGGGCAGAAAGTTCCCAAAAAACAACACAAACAAGCAAAGCAAATGTAGCACAATTCTATGACGTACAACCGGCGAATGTAAACAAAGCTATCGTCTGCATATAGTGAATGTGAGGACATTCATCCGCTCCGACTAGTTGCGAACTATTCAAGATCAACTACAGATTACTATTAGGACATTCATCCGCTCCGACTAGTTGCCAACTAGTTCCCAGTGCCATGCTCAATTCAAGATCAACTACTCTGTGTAACTCATGGCACCTTGTTCTGTTTTTTAATTATTATTTTTTTTATTCACTTGAATTTCAGGAAAAATCTGCATTAGTGAGAGAACAGCACCCCCTTTTGGTGTAAAGCGTACTTTACTTCAAACTAATATGGGTACTAATAATGATAGCCCGTCTGCTGTTTGCAACTTTATTGACTGCACCGAGTCCAATGACGAAGAGGATGAGGAAGAGGAGGAGGGGAAGGGGAAGGTGGACGAACAAGAGGAGAAAGACCAAAAGCACGAGGAAAACCATGAGAAAAGAACTATGGTTAAGAAAGAAACTATAAAAGAAGGACAGGGGCGACAGGGAGAGGTGGAGGAGGAGAGAAAAGAAACTCCAAGATGGGAGGATTTCTTTAACCCGGTAACTTTGAGTGACAGCCAGAACAGCCACTCACAGTCCCGCTCCTCCACTCTTTCAC